CCCCCCCCCCCCCTCAGTTCCTTTAGCGCCGGTGAGTCGACTAAAGATCTGGAAGGAACCGCAACCCCCACCGGACGCTCGGATTGGGAAGGCCGAGTATTCCGTATACCTTCCTGAAAACACACGAAAAGCAAGTGGCCGCGGTCCAGTTGACGTAGAGATCATGAGGATGTTGAAAAGGCCGAGAGGTTGGATGCAGAAGCTATGGAAGGGAGAAAGGTTCGAGCTACTGCTGTGTTTAGGATCCCAAGGGACATGACGAGGATAGAGTTCAAGAACTGCTGTGACAGGAAGCGACTACATTTCCTAGCAAGAGGAGAAGTAGTAGAGAGCATGGACATTTATTTCCGGGTGAAATCGACCAAGGGAGACAGCAAAGAGTGCAGGGGTGTTGACATCGAGAAGCTGTCGAACTAGGTCAGGAGCTTTGGATGGAGGGTTTGCATCGCGAACATGATAGAAACAGAGAAGGTAAGGAGGCAAGAGGCGAGGGCAATGGAGGCGAAGAAGGGACCGAGCGGAGGAGGCGAGCAGGCAAGTCAGAAGAACGCCGGGAAGAAGCGGAAGTCGAACGACAGAGTGCGCAAAATCTCCAATAATAGGGAAAAGCAAAAGCTGAGAGTGGGATCGTGGAAGGAATAGGCGATCGGGCAGTACGGAGAAGACAAGGTGAATGACAACGGAGTGAGGATGCTTCAATTCTTGGGAAGCAACGAGCTGGTGGTGTTGAACGGTGAAAGGGAATGCGATAAGCCGGAGTTCACCAGACAAAGGGCAGCCTGCAAGGGGCGGTTCTCGACTACATCCTGATAGATAGGGCGAGCGCACATATCCCAGAGTTGCACAAAAGGGCGATAGATACACAGTAGGCTCGACCGACCACTTCCTCATATGGTCAAACATCGACCGAGCTAGGAAGGCGGAGAGTAAGAAAGAGAGGACAGTGTTCCGGTGGAAAGTAGAGCGCTTGGGAGACGAGGGGACACGGGATGAACTCCAGAAGGGACTGGCTGGTAGTGTAGAAAACTTCAGGAACTTGCTGAGAAGCGTTGAAGACGGCCATTATACAAACTTAGATAGATAGCAGAAGAGCTTATGACGCCTACATCTTGATTTTAGGATGCTTTCAGCTTTAAGTTGGCATTTTTGTGTGTTTTGTTGCCCGTTCTAATCCAATACTTCGAAGCACAAGATTTCGGCGCGTCAAAATCCACAAATGTTGGGAACATTGGCACAACAGCATTATAGGGCACCGTGTACCACGCTTGTTTAACAGAGGACAGGCAGTGGGGTACGGTATCAACCTGCCTGCAGACAGATCACATTCTGCAGAAATATCGCATCCGTACATACGTCGTGCATCTGTACATATGTTAGCTACAGTCGACCTCGCTTTGGGGACGCACATGGTTTTTCCCGAAAAAAAACGTCCATAAGCGGGGTTGCGTCCTGAAAATCAGGGGACGATAGTTGCCCATCCCCGCGGCTAATGGAGGCATGCTATACCTCAATACGCGTCTTTTGCTAATAAGGAAGGGGGTGGTACGAAAAGTCAGCATCGCCGAGACGACGGGCAACCGTTTGTTGACGTCGAACACATTTGCAATACATAAAATGAGATGTAGACTACAGCAGTCGGGGACGTGTGTACTGTGTTGAGGCAACATTTAGCCATTTTGTGAAAATATCCGCTTTCCGAGGCGACGTCGATATTTGCTTCATGTCTACGACTACATCAGCTACCAGCGACCTTACGTGGTGAAACTTTCCGTCAATGTGCTTAGTCCTTGGGGTGATACGGAAGCTGCGAGTTAATTTCGGAGCTCCCGAGTTGTCCTCCCACACCACGGTTGCGTCTTCCTGAGTCTGATTTATGGTGTCCAGCAGGTGGCGGAAGTACTTGATGATGTTGCACCCCTTCGACAAAGCCACGAATTCTACTTCAACGGAAGAAGTCGCCACCACCGTTTGCGTGGATGATGTCCATTCCACCGGTCCACCAGCGAAGTACAGGACGACTCCCGTGGTTGAGTAGCCCTTGTCTAGGTCGCCTGCAAAATCTGAGTCGACAAACGCCGTAATGAAGTTTCCATCTTCGGCATCCCCGCCGTAGCGTACACCGATTGATATCGCCCCTTTCAGGTACCTGAGTACGCGTTTGAGTTTCTGCATNCCACGGTTGCTTCTCCCTGAGTCTGATTTTTGGTGTCCAGCAGGTGGCGGAAGTACTTGATGATGTTGCACCCCTTTGACAAAGCCACGAACTCTGCTTCAACGGAAGAGGTCGCCACCACCGTCTGCTTGGATGATGTCCATTCCACCGGTCCACCAGCGAAGTACAGCACGACTCCCGTGGTGGAGTATCCCTTGTCTAGGTCCCCTGCAAAATCTGAGTCGACAAACGCCGTAATGACGTTGCCATCTTCGGCATCCTCGCCGTAGCGTACACCGATTGATATCGCCCCTTTCAGGTACCTGAGTACGCGTTTGAGTTTCTGCATTGCCCTCGGACCTGGTTTCGCCATACTCCGCGTCAGAACCACCACGGAGTGAGTAATGTCGGGCCTTGTGCACCTGCTGAGATATAAAAGCGAGCCTGTGGCGGAGCGGAAATATGTGGTATCCTCCGCTGACAACACCTCGTCCTCCAAGACGGACACCGGTCCAGCCTCAGACGGAGATGTCGTCGGACGCGCGTCGGCCATGCCGAACTTGTCCAACACTGCGTTGGTATACGCTTCCTGTTCTAAAAGAATTGTCCCTGCGGCTCTGTCTCGGTTGATTCTCATACCGAGCAGGAACCTGGCTCCTCCCAGGTCCACCGTTTCGAAACGCTCATTCAGCTGATTTACTATGCTCAGCACTTTGTTCTCGCCCTCCCCGGTCAGCAGAATGTCATCCACATAAACGAGAAGGAGCACATCTCCGTCGTCCAGGATGTACAAGCACGGTTCTGCGGTGTTCTCAATAAATCCGATGTTCAGGAGAAAATCGTGCAGAGTGCCCCACCAGCCTTTGGAGAAAAGCGCAACCCGTAAAGCCATGCTCTGAGCTTCCAGACTTGCCTGGCTCTCTCGCTGTCGCACGAGAATCCTTCCGGGGGAATGACGTACACTGGTTTCGATCCCGGTTCCATCCTCGCGTGGAGGAACGCCGTCCTGATGTCGGCTTGGCGAAGCACAAGTCCATTCTTGGCAGCATGCGCAACTATCATGGACGGCTTGGAGAGACGCCACCGGTGCAGCATTGTCGGTTCCGGTCTCAGCTTCGTGAAATCCTTGCACTACGATTGTCGATCTTTTGTCGCACAGCGATGCCGGCCTCGTTGTACTTCCATTTGTAGATGTATTTTGACAGGATGACTTGAGCATCGCGCGGGGATCGACCCACTCATAAACGTCGTGGTCTAGTAAGGAGCGACNCAGCATTGTCGGTTCCGGTCTCAGCTTCGTGAAATCCTTGCACTACGATTGTCGATCTTTTGTCGCACAGCGATGCCGGCCTCGTTGTACTTCCATTTGTAGATGTATTTTGACAGGATGACTTGAGCATCGCGCGGGGATCGACCCACTCATAAACGTCGTGGTCTAGTAAGGAGCGACTCTCCTCCTCCATGCTTTTCATCCATCCAACGGCATCTGGTCCGTTGACCGCTGCGCGGTAGTTCGGTGGATCGGCGGGCATGTATCCTAGTTGGCCAGGTATCCCTTGACCAAGGTTCCCGATCTCACCTCCGATCACCAGTGCGTATTCTGTTTCGAACACCTGCTCCGTCGTTAACAGGTTCAGGCGGTCCCGCGGCTTTGTCGTGCGACCGCTTTTGCGCACCGCGGGCGGTTCTTCGCCCGGTCCGTCGTTCGTGTCTGCCGGTTCTGGTTCCTCGTCTCTTGTCTCTGGCCCAATGATAATGCCGGGCTGGAAAATCTGGCCTTGTTCGGGAAATGGGTCAGACCCGTGCATGGGGCGAGCGACGTCGCGGGCATCTACCTCGCGGAATGACACTTCAGCAGAGTTTGTAATTTTGAGTGGTTCCGCCGGGTCCCATAGCCGCCACGTCTTGCTGGTTGATTGTATCCCACCATGTAATACTTCTTCGCCCTGGCAGAAAACTTGTCGTTTCGCGAGCGAGCTTCTACGTGTTTAAACGCTACAGACCCCCACTCATGCATGTGCTTCAAGCTGCCGAGTGGTTTGTCCTCCCAAACCTCAAGTGGTGCTTGGCCGTCCACGACGTCAGTAGGTGTGCGGTTCTTGATGTAAATGGCGGCCTGCACGGCTTCCGCCCACAGTTGACGCGGCAGGTGCGGAGCTCCAAGCAGGAGGCTACGTGCTGCACGGATGACAGTCCCGAAACCGCGTTCGGCAACAGCATTCCCTTGAGGGACGTACGGGGAGCTTGTCTCCACAGCAATCCCGAAGGACCAACACATTGCTAAGAACCTGCCCTTGAAGTCGGCTGCGCCATCGCAATGGATGTTCCCGATGCAGATGCCCTCGGGGTCGGCGACTTTTTTAATCAGGGTTTCGAGCGCATCAGTCACTTTATCCTTTGTCTTCAGGGGGATGCCCCACCGCATGCGAGACTTATCGTCGGTGAACATTGCGATATGCTAACATCCGCTGCACGATAGCACACCATGTTTCCCCCACTGGTCCAGATGCATAAGCATCATTCACGTCGGTGAACGGGCGCGGCCAACTGGGCGGTGACTCGCCTTCTTGCTTTTAGATACATCGCACACTTCGCAGTCACCTGGTCGAATGTTGGTGGTGAACTTGATGCCGGTGCCTTCCTTATCCGAGAGCTGCTTCAGTTCGCGCGCATTGCAATGTACCATCTTCCGGTGCCAGACACCGGCATCGGTATCGGCAGGGAAAACTAGCGGAGAACTAGGCAGGTCGAGATTCAGGTCGTCCAGGATGAAATTCACGACGTACATTCGAGGCACATCTGCTGTTGATATGGGGAAAGACAGGTTCCGGCTTCGCAGGGCCGGAGGTGCCGAAAGTAGATCCGTCTTCACCCCCTTCTCATCCAACGCTCCGACAGAAAATATGTTTGCCCCAAGGTTCCGCACAAGCAGAACCTCCAACTCTATCGGGAAGGGTTGACCTTTGTCATTCTTGAGTTTGAACTTCAGCGTACCTTTCTTGGTGGCGCTGGATGTGCCGCACGAACCCTTGATGTGGACGTCGCAGTCAACCAAGTCGACTACATGTGAGACTGGGCTCTCGTTGCTTACCATGTGTCCCGAAGCAGCAGTGTCGATGAACACCCTCGTATTCTCGGCGGGCGCTGTCTTGTCCACTGCACGAAAAACGTTGGTGTACGCGACCAGCTCCTCATGCTGTATCGCGGCAGGCGGGTCCTTTTCCTGTTCGTAGGAGGCAGGAGGCTCCTGGGTTTCCTCTGCTGTGGCAGGCACCTGCAATGGGACAGCACGCTCTAACAATTGTAGCGAAGCTGTGGCAGGCGCAGCCAACACCTGCCCGACATTTGCATCGGACGCCTCCTCAGGGGTCGATGCAGCAGGCGCAAACGGCACCTGCTCTGGATCGCCTATGGCGATGTCGAATGATTCCAGCGTGAGGTCTACCTCGCGTGCGTGCGTGAGCCACGCCTGTGTCGTGGCTTCCGCGGTCGTGTCACCCTGCTGCTGCGGTTGCTGTTGTTCACGGTTCGACAACCGCGTGGCATTGGAGGCGCGTAAGCGCGCAGTGTGTTCCGTAGAATTGTGACAGTAACTGCAAAGCCCGTCCCTGTCGTACCCGCGTTTTTGCTGCGTGTGGTTCGGCCGTCCAGAGGACCGGTTGTCGGAAGACGCACCAGCTCCGTCTAGGCCTGTCCTCCATCGGCCGTTTTGCTTGTATGACGGAGAACAAGAAGGTGGAATTACTTGAAATTAGTATAGAAATAAAGTTTGTGTATCTAAATCGAAAATAAAACGGCCGATGGAAGGACAGGCCTAGCTCCGTAGCTCCGTCGCCAGAAGTCGCGCCGCCATGGTTCTGGTCGTTGCTGTTGTTCCCCCTCGTGGATCCGTTGTTACGGTTCGACGAGTTGTTCCAGCTGCCACGTCCTCGTCCACCGCGCAGCTCGCGTCCACGACCATGATGACCGCCGCCCTTACGGAAAGAACGCGCTCCGCCGTGTGTGACGGTATTCAGCGCACGGCTGCTGCTTGCGGACGCAATCTTCGACGCAATTTTACCACGAATGTTGTTGTATGTTGTTGTTGTTTCTCACATTAGCTCTAAAAAAAAAAAGAGATTGGGAGCCCGTGGTCTCAAAACCCGGCATACACGACCCCACGAAGAAACAGAAAAAA